CTCCTCCACACCTCCTCCTCCTCCTCGGGGTGGGTTGCTGGGGGTCTCCTCCATCTGGTGACCACTTGGGCATTGCTCCAACAGCCTCTGGAGAAGGCAGTGTCCCCCGATGCCAGGATACAAGGCTGCTCCAGGACACCCACAGGTCCCTCTTAGTGGCACCAGGGCCAGAGCTTTGTGCCCCTGCCCGCCTGCCTTCCCTTGCCCCAGCTCCAGCCCTCCCCACCGGCTCTGCCTGCACTCCTTCCCCAGCTGATTTATCTCACCGCAGTGGCTTGCCAGGGGAAATTGTCTTCCCCTCCTGGGTCACAGACGGCTCCAGGCTGTGCCGGCCTGGCAGCCGGCACGGCTGGGAGCATGGGAGAGCAGAGAGGCTTGAAGAAAATACTCATGTCACTTCTGCCCGCACGGCTGGGAGCAGGGGAGAGCAGAGAGGCTTGAAGAAAATACTCATGTCACTTCTGTCTTCCCTGGGATGCCCTGTCCTTTTCCCATGCTGTGGGTTGGATGGGCCAAATATAATTGATCTCAGAGAAGGTGCCCCAGTCTCCTGCTCCAGCACCCAGCATTAATCACTGTTGCAGTGAGGGACACCAGTGAAATCACACGTTGGCATCTTCTGTCTCCCCAGATACTGTCTCCTGGAGAAGCTCAGTAACGGGCTCCCTTTTCATCCAGCACCTGATAGAGCAGTTTCGAAACCACGCCTGTAACAGCGACTTACAGGAGATCTTCCGAAAGGTGAGGCTTTGTAGTTAACTGCAGGTGTGCCGGCAGATGCGGCCATGCCAATGGTCAGCAATACTGCTCAGAGCAGAGCCCGGGCAAGGGCAGGCCATTTCTTGGCAGGCCCCTCGGGAGCAGGCTCTGTCAAAAAGGGGTCTGGTTTGGCCTGGGAAGTCAGCTGGATCTCTGGGGGCATCAGCACCCTGCCGTGTGGTGGGCACGCAAGAGCCCGGTGTGTTGGCGCAGCCCGTGGCATCCCTTGTGCCACCAGACACGTGCCTGGGGATGCCCCTGGGGATGCCTCCTGACTCCCTGCACCCTTCCCATGCTGGGAACGGAGCTGCTCTCATTTCTCCCCGCTGTCTCTCTCACCCCAGGTCCAATATTCCTTTGGAAAATTCCCTCGGCAGTTGCCATCACAAGAACGGACTACGATGCTCAGGAAGTTCTACCTCTTCCCAGGCCACTGATCTCCTGCCCACGGTGAGTCTCTTCACCTGTCACCTCTGCAGCAGCCTTTTGTCCGTGCCCCAAACCCGGTACCCGGCCAGCGAGGAGGAGCGGGGAGAAATTCCCCGCTGCTCCTGGGCTCCAGACCTCGCGGCTCGGACGGGATATCCGAAGGACTTGTGCGCTGGTAGCCAGGGCCGGGCAGTGGCCTGACTCCATCCCCATCTCCCAGCTGGCCGTAGGAGAGACAGGCGCTCAAGGAACTCATTTCAGTAGCCCGTGTCTCAGGAGCTTCTTGGTCTGATGTTCTTCACAGGTGAAAAAATAATACACAGCAAAAGTGTTTGAATTTGGGGGTAACGCAGCAGAAAGCTCAAGCTGAAGCCGAACGCAGCCCCGCTCCAGAGATGCGCTTCTTCAGAAAAGGGAAGGACAAGAGGAAAAGCCAAGAACAGCTCTGCAGAAACACAGTCAATCTATCTCCCCCTCTGCTAGGCAATTGCGAACAGACCTGGAATAAAATAGTCCTCGGTCTCCTGTCCTCCCTCCCTTTTGCGGCCTCCAAACAACCCCAAACTGAGCGAACTCCTCCCAGGGAGCAGCAGAGACACCTGGCTCTGGAGCACCAAATGCGAAGCTGGTTAATGTCTCTCTTACCTGTCCCCAGGCAGCCTGTCCCCAGTTGTGACAGAGATGATCCGTCACCCCCAGAGCCGCTTCTGCCCCATCTCTGGCTTTACCCGTCGTCTAATAAAGGGATTTTCACAGCAAACGGCACCGCTCCTCTGCCTTTAGCCCGTGGTGGGTGGATGGTCGTTACGGCCGGCAGTAGCTGCCGTTACGTTGCCTTCTCGGGAGACGCCGAGTGAGCAGGAGGTGAGAAATCAGAGGGAGCTCAGGGAGGAGGGGACGCCCGCCTTCGGGGCAGGCTGGGCAGACGTGCTCCAGGGGGATTCCCATGCCTCCCCCTTGCCAGGCTCGCAGCGTGTCATTGCTCAGGAGGCAGCTTCCCCCACTCCCCGATCCTCCCGCTGCCCCTGAGGTGGAGGTAGGACGCGATTCCCCCGGGAGCCAAGAAAGATCCTCAAACCTGTGTCTTACGCGCACTGCTCCCACAG